TCATAAACTGGTCTGTTAAAGGCCCTTTTTATCCTTTGTAAGATTATATTCAGTTTTACGGGTTGTTATTCCTAGTTTCAGGCTTTTATCTTTTGCTTTTTAATGCTATATTCTAAAATCTTCTGTACTTTGGAGTAGGAGCAGCATAGTCTTCTGTGTATGTTACGTCAACTCATTCTTTTTGATTTCTTGTATTTTTTCTTCAATCTGGAAGCTATTTTGTTAATGACATTCCTACACATTTTTAATTTGGGGTTTCCTTTAGCTGACCAGTATATTCTATTTTTTTCCCCGTATTTTCTGATTCTAATAAATCTAAGCAGTTTCCCCTTACTGATTTCTTAAAACATAATATACAAGGGGTTTTTTTATGATCTTCAGGGAGTCTCATTAATCTTCAGGTCTCTCTCCTTGACCAGCTTTCCAACTTTTTGATGTCAGATTTATTTTTTTCCTAGCATTTTGACTTTATTCTAATATTCCTTGGTTTTTTTATGATTTTACTGAATTTCATTTGCCCCGTTTTTTCTTTATGACAGCTATTTACATTTATTGTCCTTCGATTTTTTTTCCTCTAGAACTTTCATTTCATTTTGAATTTCCTTTTTTAATCCTTTATTTTATTTCTTCTAGCCATTCAACTAATCTATATCACCAAATCATCTTAGTCTCTGACACTCTGCTTGATTTGTGGAGTTGTTCCCTTCTTCTGCATTTATTTACACTTCTTTATGCTTTAGCCTGACATGTTTAGTCCCTGTATGGTGCTATCTTTTTTGTAGTCTAGGTACTGCTACCTCTGCTGTTTTAATTATAATGATTAAGACTATGCTGTAGTAATCTCTGGCTTCTTTCGCAATCTGTTTATTGATGGCTTGGCTCAGGGTTTTGTCCTCAACCCAGGCTGTCTCCCAGTCATCGCACAGTCCTCAACTGAAGACATCCTTCCCTGTATGTGGCCCTGCCATGTCTCAGCAAATGATGTCAAATGGACTGGTAGCAGGCTTCCTACAAGATCCCACCCTATTGTTTATGCTGCCTGGAAGCTTTGCTGATCCTGTCTCTTATATAGTGCTACCTGAGAACTTTACTGGCCCATCTCCTTGTTGTACTCTGATATAGGCTCCCTGTGCATTGTGCTTGCCCTGTTTCCTGCAGGACTTCAGAGCATTATTCTGGCCTTTCTCATGTAGTTGTCTAGGCACCACAGTGCCATGCCTCTGTCTCCCACTTGTTTCTACTCACCATGTTCACAGGCTTCTGGCAGTCTTATGTAGTCCAGAACTAGATAAAGGAGCTCATAACTGTTTCTCCTTCATTTTCTTTATCATTGTTCCTTAAAATTCGTTTTTAGAACTTTGTTGTAGTGTTTTTAGGAGAGGTGAGTTCCTCTCAGACTTTTTACATCAACATTTAGTATTCAAGCCATTTATGATATGGCTGCAGTCCATCTTCCCAGGCAACTTACACATATTTCCATTTCTTGTAGAAATGTTTTTCTCTATGTATGCTTCCTCTTTCCTTTTGCACCAGTGCACACTGTTTCCCATTCCCCTCTCTCCTTGCTTCCACCCAGTTCTCTACAAGACTCAGCCAAAATGCTGCCTTTTCAAGAGGCCTTTTCCCACTCTGTGTTAGTAGTAATTTTCTCCTCCTTCATTCTTCCCCCACATTCAGTCACTTCTATCTGTTTTGTGTACATATTGTATTTATTCAGGTGAACACCTCCTGTTGTCCTAGTGTAATGTGAATTCCTTTTGAGACCAGACACCATTTTACTTTTGTATATTCTATCCTCAATGTATAGTATATAGTAGTTACTTTTAAAATGATTATTGATTTGATTTTTAAATTTCTTTCTATTCTTTTTATCTAGTCTTTGAAATCTTTGCTAAAATTCAGATTGTATCTTAATGCCTAGCCTTTTCTGATTATTATGAACTTAAGATTGCATGGTAACTTTTTTTAACTTTTTAAAAAATTTTATTAATTTACTTTGATTTATCAACAATCACTTCCATATGCTTTTGAGTTGTAAATTTTTCTCTCCCTTTCTCCCCCCCACCCTCCACAAGACAGCGCACAATCTGATATACGCTTTACATTTACGTACCCATTAAACATATTTTCACATTAGTGAAGTTGCAAGTAAAAATTAAAACCAATAAGAGGAACCATCAGAAAGATGAAACAAAACTCAACAGAAGGTAAAAATAAGTGATAGCGATTCAACTTCCATAGTTCTTTCTTTGGATGTGGACAGCGTTTTCCATCCTGAGGCCTCTGGGGATGTCTTAGATTCTTGTATAGCTGCTGAGAAGGTTTAAGTTTATCAATATTAGTGATTGCACAACGTGGCTGTTGTGTACAAAGTTCTCTCGGTTCTGCTCATTTCACTCAGCATCAGACCATATAAGTCTTTCCAGGTTTTTCTGAAGTCAGCCTGTTCATCATTTCTTATAGCACAATAGTATTCCATTATATTCATATACCACAACTTGCTCAGCCATTCCCCAATTGATGGGCATCCTTTCAATTTCCAATTCTTTGCCACCACAAAAAGACTGCTATGAATATTTTTGTACATGTGGGTGGTCCTTTTCCCATTTGTATGATCTCTTTCGGATATAGCCCTAGAAGTGCTATTGCCGGGTCAAATGGTATGCATTTTTATAGCCCTTTGGGCATAGTTCCAAATTGTTCTCCAAAATGGTTGGATCATTTCACAACTCCACCAACAATGTATTAGTGTTCCAATTTTCCCACATCTCTCCAACATTTATCATTTTCCTGTTTTGTCATGTTGGCCAATCTGATAGGTGTGATGTGGTACCTCAGAGTTGTTTTGATTTGCATTTCTCTAATCAATAATGATTTAGAGCATTTTTTTCATATGACTATAGATGGCTTTAATTTCTTCATCTGAGAACTGCCTGTTCATATCCTTTGACCATTTATCAATTGGGGAATGAATGCTTGTGTTCTTATAAATTTGTCTTAATTCTCTATATATTTTAGAAATGAGGCCTTTATCAGAGAGACTGGTTGTAAAAATTCTTTCCCAATTTTCTACCTTCCTTCTAATCTTAGGCATTGGCTTTGTTTGTGCAAAACTTTTCAATTTAATGTAATCAAAATGATCCATTTTGTTTCATAATGTTCTCTATCTCCTTTTCATCACGAATTCTTCTGTTCTCCATAGATCTGATAGGTAAACTATTCCTTGTTCTCCCAGTTTACTTATGGTATCAGCCTTTATATCTAAGTCCTGAACCCATTTTGACTTTATTTTGGTATATGGTGTGAGATTTGGGTCTATGCCTAGTTTCTGCCATACTCTTTTCCAGTTTTCCCAGCAGTTTTTTTTTTTTCAAAGAGTGAATTCTTATCCCAGAAGCTGGGGTCTTTGGGTTTATCAAATAATAGATTACTGTAGTCATTGACTACTGTGTCTTGCATATTTAACCTATTCCACTGATCCACCTCCCTATTTCTTAGCCAGTACTGAGCAGTTTTGATGATTGCTGCTTTATAATACAATTTAAGATCTGGAATTGCTAGGCCACCTTCCCCTGCATTTTGCATGGTAACTTCTTTCCGAGGCTCTGGATATTTATATTTCAACAAATGTTTCTTATTGGTCAGCATCAGTTGCAGAATAGCATTTTGCTTTGTTGCTTCCTCCACTTCTCTCTCTTTTTTTTTAAATTAATTTATTTTTAGTTTTCAACATTCACTTCCGTAAGATTTTGAGTTTTAATTCTTTTTCCCCTCACCCTTCCCTAAGATGGCATGCTATCTGATATAAGTGCTACATATATATTCATATTAAACATATTTTCACATTAGTCATGTTGTAAAGAATTGGAACCAATGGGAGATGCCTCCACTTCTCAGGGGTGACATCATGTAAGCAAATTAAGAATTTATTAATTGCCCTACTTTAAAAACTAAAATACATTTTTTCCTTAAAAAGATTCTTGGGTGGTTGAAGTTTGTTATCACTATCATATTATTCCTCCCTACTATCTTTGTGATCTCCTAGAATCACCAAATTCTTCTTCCCTGCCAGCTTCCAGAAATCATCATATACTTCTTTTTTGTTGAGTAGGTATAATATAGTTCTACTAGTATCTCATATGTTTCTTCCTCCATTGTTTCTCACCCAAATATTTCCCATATTCTGCTTACTTTTCTACTCAAGTCTAATTCATGAATTTGTCCACCATAGTATATATCTTTTGGATATATTTGTGTCTCAGGTATCCCTTTTAGCTAATCGGTACCTTTTGAATTATGTTAACATTTCATTGCCATAGTGTTTTCATTGAAAAGCTGCACAGTGGAAAGAAGACTAGCCTAGCTTCAGAGTCAGAAGGCTGGATTTGTTTCCTAACTTCAGTTACTTATGTGACTATGGCAAATAATTTTTAAAACCCGCCCCTCCCAAGTCTCAATTTCCTTTTCTGTAGAAAAAGGTGAAAAATTGTAAATGGATAATGTTTTGCTCTGTAGCAGACACTGTGTGGTTTTTTTTAATTTTATCAAATACTTGTACTACCCACAATGTAAATATGAATTGTTGTGGATTAGATCTCATTAATCTCATAGAGTGCTTGATGGTTTATAACTTTAAATTTACTTACAAATACTTTAAATCTAATTTAATCTTAAAATTATATCTAATTTTATTTAAATTATTCCTTGAAGTAACAATATTAAATGTTGCCTACATGCATAATTTAATACAATTGGTGAAATTCTCTGTTGTTTGTTTATATCTGTCCTAGTAATGTTGGACAATTGCTTTCCTGGAATTTTGTTGCTAGGTTTTAGGACTGTACCTTTATTAGAATGATATTGTCTAAACATGCAAATGATTAATGCTGCAATTCTTCCTTTTTATATCTGTCTTAATAATATTGAACAAATGAGCTAGAACTTTTTTTGAGGTTTATTTTTTTTTCTTTTAAAAAAATATTCTCTGACTCTTGTTACAGATAGATGACATTGATCTTATCAGTGCTAACATGGAGAATTCCCTAGCTTCTATTGGAGGATTTTGCTGTGGCAGATCTTTTGTAATTGACCATCAGGTATGCTTGTTCGTGTGTTCTAAATAATTTTTCTCAGAAAATATGAAATGATTCACATTGTTTGCCTGAAAATTTAAGTTCTTAATGGAGTTTACTATACAGTTCTTATTTTCTGTTATTCTTGAAGTCATGGTGCTAAGAATGAATTGGTGGAGAAGAAGGTAGTAAAAAGTCAGAATCATCTTCCACTCCATTAAGGAATGAGTTATAGAATGCCTGGATTAGGATCAAAGCAATAGGAATAGAAGAAAGAAGGAATTCCATAGAATCACTAAACCTCTAGATTTAGAGAGTTATGTTATAGAGATCATCTACCTTCCTCATTTTATAAATGAGAACACTAAACCTTAGAGGTAAATGAGAGAAGTGAATTAAACCCAAGTCCTCTGATACCAAATCCAGATTCTTTCTATTATACCACACTACCTTCTATATTTGAAAGAATTTAAAGTCCTACTCTGCTGCTTTGTCTTGACATGAAGGTGACTCTGGGTTCTTGAAGGTTATGGCAGCAGATTGCAAGTTCTAGAAGTTTCAGTAATAATGGCTGTGAGTGTGGTCTTAGCTATAAAATATGTTTTGGTTTTTGTGGACCAACCTAGCTAAGTACAGAGAGGCTTATCACCAATTGGCTAGCCATTTAATGATGGATTCTTTGGCCATGAAATAAATAAAAATACAGAATACTTCTTGTGTAGCCCCTTTCTGCTTCTATAATGGTGGCAGGGCTGTGGAAAGGAAAGTGGAAAGTGCGAACAATCACAGAATTTTTAGATAACCTGTAAACATTAACTGTAAGCACTCTTACAACCTTTGTCTGGTAAGAAACAAATATTCTTATTCTGAAAATACTGAGTCATATCATCTTTGACAACCTTGTTGTAAATGAACCCAAAAGAAAAAAATGAAGTTGCAACTAAATGAAACAATGTCTTATAAGACAAATAAAGGAGTTGGCAGAATTATTTTTTAAATAGGTCCAAAGTCAACAGTAAACATGATTTTGTGGAATGCTACTTGGTCATCTTCTATTACAGTGCTTATGATAAAATTTCCAAAAAAAATCAATATAAAAATAATTACAGCTTATATACCAACATAATAGTTAGGAAATAACTACCTACCCATGTGGAAGTCATTTTATATTCAGCTGTCTCTATAGTCAGATCATTGCGTCATTAAGCAAATGTCAAAACAAATACGAAATTGGAAAAAATAAGAGAACATGACATGCACTTGAGGCCTCTTGAAAAAAGCAAGTTGGTACTGAAAATGAAAAAGGATGTAAGGAGAGACATTCACATGGACCATCAACCGTTTCTACCAGAAAAAGACCAAAAACACCTTAGAAAATTGCCTTAGTCAATAAATAGTTGGTCTCCTGGATAAATAGAGTGAGATAGCAATCAAGGGCAACAGTAATCTAGAATATAAATTCATTCATAAAATCTGACAAAGAGGAAATAGTGGAAATTATGAGCAGTACTGTATCATAAAATATTAAGCAGTAAAGGAAATGAAAAATTTTATAGAAATGTTGATGAGATAAGCTAGATTATTCCAAAGTATGAAATTTAGAAGAAGATAATAACTTTAAAATATAGAAAATATGGGGACAGCTAGGTTGTGCAGTAGATAGAGCACTGGCCCTGAAGTCAGGAGGACCTGAGTTCAAACTCGGCCTCAGAGCTAACACTTGACACTTACTACTTGTGTGACCCTAGGCAAGTCACTTAACCCCTATTGCCTTAAAAAATTAAAAAAAAATAGAAAGTATTTCCATAAAACTTCTTTCCCCATATCACCAATTACCTATTGGATATTTTCAACCATATCTTCCATAGGCATTTCAAATTTAACACATTCAAAACTGAACTCGTGTTTTCCCCAATACCTGCTTCTCTGCCAAACTTGCGTATTTCTGTGGAGGGTACTACATTCCATCCAATTACCCAGGTTTACACCTCAGTGTGATACTTGATTCCTCACTCTCTGTTATCATATATCCATTTACTTGCCCAAACTTTTCATTTCTACCTCTACAATATCTCTTACATCTATTAGTTTATCCCCTTATACGTAGCCACTACCCTAGTTTAGTACCTTATCTCTTCTCTACTCCACTGTAACTCTCATACAGCTAGAAAAGCCCTTGAACTTTATTAATAACCCCCTCCTCCCAACTAGACAACTGAGAGATCATTAATTGCTAATCCCAGCTAAATAAAATTCTTAGGATGGGCCTTCTGGGAGCCAAGATAGTGGAGTAAAAAGGTAGTCACTCTCACTCTCCCCTATCAACCTCTGAAAACCCAGAAAATATCACCCCAGAAAAAAACCCTGGAACAGCTGAACTAGAAGAAAGATGGGGAGCAGCAGTGCAGCAGCCCAGCAAACGGGTCTCCCAGTGCCTCAGCAAAAGTGAGGGAGGCAGAACTACAAGGAGCCCCAGGCAGATAAGTACTCTGCGGCATTCATCTGAAAGGAGCTGAAGAAAGCAACCTAAAATCTTCCTAAAGCCCCAGCCTTGCTGGTTCCAGCCCAACACCAGGTGAGCTGTCGGAGCCCTGCAGCCTCCAGTTGTTAACCAGGAAGAAATCCTGAAGCCCAGGTGGTAGAGCAGGCAAACACCAACACCTGGACCTCCAAGTGCCTCAGTGAGGGCTGGGGGGGGGGAGAACTGGTGGAAACCAGCTCAGAAAAACACCAGGTGCCTCAGCACTCTACCACAAAGAAATCTCCCAGTGCATCAGCAGAAACTAGGGAGGCAGCACTGGAAGTGGCCCCAGGCAGATAAACATCGAGCACCACCCATCTAAAAGGAGCTGAAGAAAGCTAAAGGAAAGGAAAAGCAGGCAACCTAGAATTGCCTGAAAGTTACAGCCTTGCTGACTCCAGCCCAACACGAGGTAAGCTGCCAGAACCCTACAGCCTCTAATTACCAACATAAGAGGCCCCAGCACACAAAGCCAGTGACCAAAACCTAGGCTCCCGACACAACATGCTTGGGTCAGTGCTCTCTGTTCCCCAGCAGGAGAGCCCAATCTCTTTAAAGGCCATGAGTAAAAAGAAATGTACATAGATTCATATTATGAGAAGAGTGAAGATTAAGACAAAAATTCTAAAGAGGACAACATTGTCAACAAACCCACATCTGCAATGTCAGAAGGAAATATGAACTGGTCTGAAGCCCAAAAAGCCTTCTTAGAAGAGCTCAAGAAGGATTTTAAAAGTCAAATGAGAGAGGTAGAAGAGTCCTTAAAAAATACAATTGGGCAATTGGAAAAAAAGTACACTGAAGAAAACAAGTCCCTAAAAAAGAAAATTGGCCAATTGAAGAGGGAGGTACAAAAACTAACAGAAGAAAACAGTCTGTTAAAAACTAGAATTGGACAAATAGAAACTAATGACTCTATGAGAGAGCAAGAATCAGTCAAACAGAAACAAAAAAATGAAAAAACAGATGAAAACATAAAATACATCATCGGTAAAACAACCAACTGGGAAAATCGATTCAGGAAAGACACTTTAAAGATTGTTGGACTACCTGAAAATCATGATGAAACAAAGAACCTGGACAGTTTCTTTCAGGAAGCCATGAAGGAAAACTGCCCTGAAGTGCTAGAACCAGAAGGTAAAATAACCATAGAAAGAATACACTGCTCATCACCTGGAAGAGATCCCAAATTGAAGACACCAAGGAATATAATAGCAAAATTCCAAAATTACCAGACGAAAGAAAAGGTGCTGCAAGCACCAGAAGGAAACAATTTAAATATCATGGAAGCATAGTAAGGATTACACAGGACCTTGCAGCTTCTACATTAAAAGACCACAGGGCATGGAACATCATATTCCATAAGGCAAAGGAGCTTGGATTGCAGCCAAGGATCAACTACCCAGCAAAAATGAGCATGATTTTTCAAGGGACAAGATGGATATTCAAGGAAATAGGAGACTTCCAAACCTTCCGGACAAAAAGACCAGAGCTCAACAAAAAATTTGATCTTCAAGTACAAGATTCAAGAAGGACATAAAAAGTAAATGGGACAGAAAGATACAATATGTTGTTAATAAGGGAGGACTGTTTACATCCCTACAAGGGAAGACCACACTTGCAGCTCTTGAGAACTGTATTGTTATTTCACCATGTTAAAGGAGTATACATAAAAGGGGTGGATGTTAGTTGACTTTGATGTAATGATAAAAAAAAATCTAATCAAGTGGGTTAAATGGATCCAAGTAAGTGGATTAATCTGATCTTAGAAAATGTACTGAAAAAGGAGGCAGACAAGGGTAAATTACATTACAGGAAAGACACAAAATCCTATTATAGCAGAGGGAAAGAAGGGAGGGGAGATGAGCATTGTTTGAACCTTACTGTCATCAGATTTGGCTTAAGAAGGGAATGACATAATCAGGTATAGAAATCTAACTTGCCCTACAGGCCTTAGGAGGAAAAAGGAGAAAGAAAAGGGAAGGGAGATAGAAGGGAGGGAACAAGCCATAAGGGTAAAGGGGAAGAAAAGGGAAAGGGCAATAGAAGGGAGGAGGTGATGGTCAAAAGCAAAGCCCTCGTGGGGGAGGGAAAGGAGAAAGGAGAAAGAAAAGCATAAACCGGGGGCAAAAAGGATGGAAAAAAAGACACAGATAGTAATGATAACTGCGAATGGGAATGGATGAACTCTCCTATAAAACAGCGGTGGATTGCAGAATGGATTAAAAACCATAATCCTACAATGTGTTATTTACAGGAAACACATGTGAAAAAGAGTGACACATACAGGGTAAAGGTAAAAGGTGTGAGCAGAATATATTATGCTTCAGCTGAAGTAAAAAAAGCAGGGGTAGCAATCCTGGTCTCAGACAAAGCAAGAGTAAAAATAGATCTAATCAAAAGAGATAAGGAAGGAAACTACATCCTGCTAAAAGGCACCATAGACAATAAAGTGATATCATTACTAAACATATACATACCAATATAGCATCCAAATTCTTAG